TGATTATGCTGCTTCCAATCAACATCACTGTTGTGAATAACATGAATATCTAGATCATTTGAACACCAAGATCAAAGACCTTAGTGCAAAAATTGGCAAGTGTATTAGCATGTTGCAAGATGACCTCAGAGAAGCTGGCCAGAAATTTCAATTGGAATTGCCATTCATAAAGTGGGAATAGTTTCATAATATGGGTTGACATGGATGACTGCATAAATCTTTGTGCACTTCCAACAAGTTCTGCAAATGCTCAAAAATAAAGGGATGAGATTGTAGAACCATACATCAAGCTATTTGCATGTGAGACTGGTAGCAATTTTATTCTAAAGTAGTAAAATACCTATCTTTACAGTACCAGAACTGGAAAAATGATGGCAGGATGATAAACAGATGTTATTTATATCTTGGAAAGTTGTTTAATAAGTTAAATTTTTACTCAAGTACTTTAGTTAAGTCAATTTAACTATCATCAGGATCAAACAAAATAAAAAAGAATAGAACATTACATTTAAAATATTAGACAAAGCTCTTTACATCAGAGGTAGCAGTTGTAGCAGAGCCAGAATTGTCGAGCAATATCTTATGGAAAATAAGAGCAGCTGTATGAATTGGCCAGTTCATTTCCCTGAACTCAACCCTATAGTAAATGCACAAGAAGTTCTAAGCTGACAGGCATTAGGTCTTAATCCTTCTCCTCAAACCCTGCAGAAATAATGCATTAGCAAAACAAATAGCCATCAATTCAAGAGTCTCTGAATAATGTAATTTTTAGCTTGAAACATCAAAGTGAGACCTGTATTTACGTAAGAAATGATCACACTCTTTATTAACTTATTGTTAATGTCATCATTAATAAATTTTGATTGATTGATGGTTGACCATGCATCAAATTTTATTTGTTAAATAAGTATATAGAAGAGCAATTCCTTTCCATGTGAACAAATTTACAATCCTCTCATTTTATGTAAATCCATAATGCCATCAACAGTTATACTCTTGATGTTATACTCAGTTATGTGGCTGTTCTGCTCTTGAACTATAGCAAAGTACCTCACTTTCCACTAAAGGAGACCAACCTGAACATATGAGAGGAATAGTTTGTTCCATTCATCTATACAGACTTTCCAAAGACTGTCCAGTATTGTGATATGGCATTTTCCAATTGCTGTTTTCAGCATCCTGAAGTCACAAAAGTCCATCAAGCTGACATCAGAAGACTTCACAGTTGTCATAAAAATATATCAAGGTGAAACCTTTTCATAAATATAAAGAGAGATGATTTTGCAGTATGACCTGAAGCTTTATCTATGTGGTGTAAATTTGGTCAACACCATGTTGACCAAGTTTACACCACCATTTCCTTACAATATAGGCAATTCTCAGAGATAGATTGGTTTTGTAATGTTGTACTTGGAAATACTGTACATTCACCTTGGTGTTCTTGGCTACTCATCATATAGAAGCTTTCCTCTGTGAAAGTACCCAGCAACAATCATTGTCAAACTCACCAATAAATAACAAACCATTAGAAGACCAAATAAAAAAAACAGCATCCTTATCAAACTCAAGAGCGAATTCGATCCACTTTGATGGTTAGTTGCTTACAACATATTCAAACAAAAAGAACAAATGCATTTGAATACAAGGGCAATTCAAAATTTAAACAAAATCATAAATGAACTTATATTGGTTACTTGTTCAACTACAAAATTTCAGAATCATAAGAGATGAAGTAAAAGTAAAATATGCAAACTATGTATTATTTACAAACTATAAAATTAAAAATAAACAAACATGCAACTAATGTGGATTGAACTTTCAAGGTTACAGTTCATACAAAGATTTCCAGGTGGTTAAAAGTTCAACCCACATTAATTGCATGTTTGTTTATTTTTAATTTTATATAGTTTGTTCCTAGACAACAAAGAGCTAAGCGAAACAGCGTTAAATGAGATCATTTTAACATAGAATAAATAGGGATAGGAGAACGTGACAATTAAAATTAAAGTAAATTTTTTTTTATTTTCGAAGTTATTTTTATATTAATTTGTTTAATAATATATGTTAAATAACATATAAACATATGCACACAGAAATGTATAATAATATATTAATTAGTTCATTTTTTGTGACAAAGGTACTGACTTTTCTGAAAATCTTGTTTTTTTGCAATAAAGTCGTGAAGTTTCATTTGTCTCTTTTTTCTCTCCTTAAGCAAATGTCGATAGCAGAAGATCACATCCAAAACGCTCCATTTTGCTTTTCCTCCTATCAAAATCTAGATCATTCGCTACAATTTGATCAACAATTTCGGTTATCATTACCAAACTTTTATTAACCTGTCCTATGTTGTTCCCGAAAATATTCGTGTTGACTTCATTGACCTGCGTGGGCGATCCTGAATATTTTCGTGTTTACATTGGAACGTTTTTGATATTAGATGTCGCTATGTGTCACAATTTTTATATTAAAACAAACTTTTAAAATATAATTTTTTTTGTTTCTATATTATTCAATATATTTATTTTGTTTGTGAAACACAAAAAAATAATTTTTTACGATACAGTACACACGATTATTATTTAAAAAAAAAATTTTAGGCTTAACATCAACAAAAATTCAACATGGCATCACAGGCAACAAATAAAAATTTCAACATCAAATAGGTTAAGGAAATCTATAGAGAAATTTTTTGGGTTCTTCATTTTCAGAATCGCTATTTTCCAGTTCTACATGGATTCCTTGTTCTGCCAGTTCTTGAAGTCATCATTGGTAAGGCTCTTACCAGAAACATGCAGAACTCTCCAATATCCTGATCATCTACATCTTCTGTATCAATTAAGTTGACAATTTTGTCAACCTAACAATACAGGAGATGTAGACAAGCTAGGAAGGTATCCAAGAATTCTCATCAAGATGAGCCTAATGATAGGCTCTTCTCGATGAGAATTCTTGGATACCTTCAGCCATAACTTCTTCCACACTCTGTTCATGCATTTATCAGTTAATTCTTGCCAAGCCAAATTGCTATTTCTTATGGCATCCATGATGTTATATTTTTTCCAAAATTGCACCAAACAAACATAGATTTAAGGGAAGTACAGTGCTACAACAAACTGCCACCTTTTGCTCATTGGTTCATGTTTGGGAATAATTGTATTATATATGAATCAATGAAATACTGAGTTAATTTGAATCAGTGTAAATTTTGAGCATTTTTTAGGCATCAAGCAGACTGTGTTATGTTGAATCAGCGTTAAACAAGGCAGCATTAAGCAGGGTTTTATTGTAATATATAGTTTTTGTATTTTACTTTTATTTCATCCTTTATGATTCTGAAATTTTATAACTGAACAAGTAACTGTTATAAGTTTGCTTATGTTTGTGTTTAAATTTTGAATTGCCCTTGTATTCAAATGTGGTCATTCTTTTCATTTGAATACATTGTAAGCAACTAAAGCAGATCCATCAAACTGGATTGAAAACAATCTTGGCTATTAAATTGTGTTAGTGTTTAATAAGGTGTGTGTTTCCTCTCCAAATCTAGCTGCAATTTGACAGGTTGATCCAATCTTCATCTAGTATAGTTATAAACTTCTACTTCCTACTAGCAAGGTACTCTTCATACATACATCAGAAATCTGTCTTTCAATTCTGGCAATGCTGAGATGTCAAATTGTGTTCTTGTGTTTCATGAAACATCCAGAGCTGGAGCTTTTGTCTGATGCTTGCAGCTGATTGCATAACTCCTGTTCTAATCAAATGGTAATAGATCTAGACTGTAGGTTAGATAAGTGGTCCCCAACCTTCGGGCCGCGGACCGGTACCGGTCCGTGGATCAAATGGTACCGGGCCGCCCAAGGAACATTAAATTACTGGTATTTCCATTTTATTTACTATGGTGTATTTCTCTCGGGTTTGTGCGACTTTTAATGGCCGACGGAACAACGGAATAAACTGGACATAAGAAACATACTTTGGGTGTCATTGTCTCCTATTACCCCCAGATGGAATCGTTTTGTTGCAAAGAAACAAGCTCAGGGTTCTCATTGATTTAACGTTCTAGTGAGTTAAAATGTTAAATCACATTATATTCATTTTTGGTGTAACTATATTTTATTTTGAGGCATGTTTAAATACAATTAAATTAAAATTAATAAATTAAATCAAACTAAAATATAAACAATCAACATCCCCCTTCAGTGGGCCGCGGTAAAATATCAAACGTTGACCGGTCCGCGGCGATAAAAAGGTTGGGGACTGCTGGGTTAGATGATCCAGAATTAATAATAATCAAACAAAAATAAAATACAAAAAGTTGATTCCTTTCTATATGGTCTAAACTTTAGTAAGGCTGAAAGTAGCAACATAATTAAGTAGCTATGAAATCATGACATGTCTGTGAAGGAACTCCAACTAAAGTTGTTCCATGGTGCCAAGCTCCAAAGGCAACACCAGCCCTCCATAGGACTGTGTGATGTGTGGCATTACAAAAGAATCCACCAATACAATATGCTATGGCCAGAAGGAATGTTTGGCCCTTTAAAGTAAGCCTTGGGAGACAGCTACTCTACTGCATGTGAGTACTCATCATACAGTGGTTCCAATATCAGTCAAAATACTTCTATTCTGCAAGCATACCATCACTGCCAAAACAATGACAGAAGTGTCAGTGTTTAGAGGGAGAGTATCTAGAGAAAAAGCATAAATTGGGACTATAATACACATAGTTCTATCACCATAACTGAAATTTCAGATAGAAGTTAAACTGCCCTTGTACTTTTCCAGATAGCTTCAAATTTTACTTTGTTTCTTAAATTTTTGGAAACCTGTGTACATTTACCTTTATTAGCAAAAACTGAACAAAAATATATTTTTTTCCAAATTACTGATAAATTATGAAATGTCTTAAAAAGTTTTTCAACTTTAATATATAAATATTTCTATACAAAAAAAAATTAATAAAACTACAAATAAATAAATATAAATTATGTACTTACTTGTTTCTCTAAAAAGTGTGCAACTCTTGTACGTTGTTCTTTCGGAATTGTTGGTAAAACTTTGTCTGCTGTTTCAAAATCTGCTCTCATTACAGCTGTTTGATATTCTAAGACTGACAACAGTAGGGAATAGGAAACAACATTTAATTCTTTATCACCAAGATAAAGTCTATTATCTTTTGGAATATATCCCAATAAATACATAGTCCTATTAATACAAAAAGTTATATGAAAAGTTATGTTATTATTATATATTATTTTCACTTAGAAATTCTTCATTATATAAATACATATGAATTTTGTTACCTATCAAGATGAGCAACCGTGACAATTTCACCTCCTACATAATAATTTAATCTGTTTACACTATTTGTATAAATGAAACAGTCTCCAATCCAGAATCCTGTTTTCACACATTCTTGAACTTCACCTAGTACCTGAAAATCAACATTAATTGAAATTTCTCAAATATAGAAATTTTCTAAATTTCTTCATAAAATAGTTTCTTACATCAAATGATTCTTCAATACCATCTTCTGTCATTCCTTCTTTAGTTTCTTGAGCTTTGGTTACAGCTTCAGGATTATATTTTAGAATATAAAAACATTCATCTGTTGCAATACATAACAATTCTCCACTTTCAGACCAGAATACCTAATGAAATATTTAATATGTTATTTCATAATAAGATTTTATTAACTACTTTAAAATATTTATATAATTTAAGATTTAAAAATTTAATCTTAAATTTTATACTAAAAACTTACATGCTTTGGTTGTATTTCAATACGTCTAATAAGATCAAGATATTCCCAATCATAAAAAGCAAGTCCACTCACAGATCTTACTCCAAGCATATGTCCACCAAAAATAACTATTCATTAAAATATACCATTTCAAATAAAACATTTTCTTTTGGGTATTTGATTATAATGTTTAGGAATCAATGAAATTTTTTACCATCAGCACCAAATTCTGGTTTGAATGATTTCTTCTCTTTGAAGTTCTTAAAAATTTTAACAGATGTACTATTTTCTCTGACTGCATATTCTGAAGAATCTAATGCCCAAACAAATTCTTGAGCTGTTCCAAAACTTTTGTTTCTTAATGCCATGGCAGTATAAATTATATATTCACCATCACCACAAACAACAACAAACCTAATATAAAATTAATGGAAAATAAATTGTTATAGATTATATTTTAAACATATTTTTATGCTGTAATTAAATGTGTTATTAATATTTAACAATAAATGATTTTTATTATTATACCTTCCATTTGGATTATGAGAAATAGTTTGAGGATAAATTTCACAACTGCCCATATCTTTAACTTGCAATGGTAAACGTTCTCCATCTTTAATTTCTGCATCTGTCATTGCTTTAAGATTTGCTTGTTGTAATTCTGAATGTTTGGCCCAAATTATTTTTCCAGAATTATCCATAGACATAGCTGGTTCTTCTCGACCAAGCTAAAAATTATTTTAAATAATAATTTATTGTTTAATAAATATTATAAAATATATAATTTTTTAAAATTGAATTAATTACCTTCACAATAATACTTCCTTCATCATAACCAAGAGCAACACTATTTGAACCTTTCAAGCAAGCAATTGTCCAAACTCTCTCTAATCCATAATTTAAAGTACTTTCTAAACGATAGGTATTGGCATGCCAAATTCTAACAGTACCTTAAAACATAAGCAAAAATTTTATATTTATAAATTTAATATGATTTAAAAAACAACAAGTTTAAACACAAACTTCAAATATAAAAACTATATGTTTATTCAAAGCGAGAAATCAAATTAGCATAGAAAATTTATTGATCTGTTGAATGAATCAATATCTTTGATCAAAACACAGAGCTAAAGCACTTGATATATTTTTGATAGCATATCAAATACCAAGCAATTGTAATTAAAGTATCCCTATTTAATATTGTCTCAAAGTATTTAGCAGATCACATGTGACAAAATCTTGTATGGTGATATTTCAAGATAAGATATTTCTGTAAAAAAGATTAGTCTCAAAACTCATCACTATTGCACATTTGATACTGCAAGCAATGAAAAAGCAGTTTTCTTTGCATAAAAATATATGTTGCAGCCAAGTTGCTTACCCAGGAGGATATAAAAGTAGCCACAACTGTTGAATGTCATTCTTATCAACTATCATGCCTTCATCTTGTTGGAATGCACATTTCTTGTACAGCTTTTTTTTTTTTTTTAATGAAAACAAGAGCAGTGTTGTGGTTGCACTTTGAGAATTTCACCATCATAAGAATTGACTGTCAGGATTATATAAAAATAATTTACAATTACATATTTTTGACAGTATGTAACTGTCCTCCTCAGGCAAAATCATTCATAGAGAACAAAACATTTAAATACGCCACTGTTTTCTAGACTTCAACAAAATAAATAAATGTTTCTTTGCAGTTTCCATGCTAGTAATAAAGTTTTATAGAAAAAGTTATATAAAACTTTATCACTAGCATGGAAACTGCAAATAAATAAGAATTGATACTAAGAACCATTGATTCCACAAGATCTCAGGAGAATGATCACTCAAATTTTGAGGAAACTGGATGTTTGATGTTAAGAGTACAAAGCTATAACTTCACAAGTTGTTAATCATAGTTATAATAGCTGTTGTTGAAGTTAATGAATAATGATGCAGTAACAAGTGCAGTGTCATGGCAGAGTGTAGAAGGAACTGAAAAACTCAGTATTATCTATATAAGATTAGCCACAACTAGCAATTACATACCTCCAACAGAAAATTTGAATGACTTTTGCATTGATTTTCCTTGCCAGAATAGAAGTGATTGCATATGGCCATGGTCATGAAAGAGTCTAAACACCAACAAGACACAATTTCATATCAATGAAACAGTCAACACTAAGTTATATTGGGCCATAGAAAATCTTCATATTTTCCAGGAGATTTCACTGCACTCAGCTAAGTTACAGTCAAACATGAATTACCACATTCTTAGATCATTGTTCTTCAAAGAAGCTAATTTCAATGAGCCTTGACATGCTCTATGACAACCAAGAAATATTGAGATACCCTCAACACTTTTGTCATATCCCAACAACAATAGTAACAATGCCTGAGTCTAGCATTTCCATACAAAAGGGAGTCCCTCCACATATTGGAAACTGCTTACAGATGTTTCTGCAACATTTCACTAATAAAAGTAATTAGTTATGAGTTTAGTATTGTCTGACCACCTTATTCTTTCGGATCTTAATCCACATGGTTTTCAGTTGAAAAGATATTTAAAAAGTGTGATTTATCAAGACCATGTGCAAATTGTGGGAAAAATAGCTTGAGAGATATTTTTGATTAATTTAGATCAATCTTAAGAATCTTTCATTGCTTTTTTTAAATAATGATCAGAGATTATTTAAAAAAAAGCAATGAAAAAGATTTCAATGTTGTTTTGTTTTCTAAGTAATAAAGCTTCTTATAGTTAAATAATAAAGAAATTTTTCAATTTATTTTATAAAAATAAAAATTTCTTATGAATATTTTTGCAGAACATAGTTTGAATATCACTGATTTACATCACTAAATTAACTAATTACTTTAATTTATCATATGCATTAATTTTTAATTAAAAAAATTTAAATTCAGACTTAATTTTTTTCAACTAAGTGATACTTTGAATAATAATAATAATTTAAAAATTTTACTTCAATTATTACATTTAACTGTTTAATGTTTAACATTCATTTTTTATTATTTCAGTCAAGTAGGTATTTTACTATAAAAATTTTTCAAAACTACTTAATGAGTATGTATATATGTTTACTATGCACCTCTAAATTGTTTAACTAATAGGTCTGAAAGTCAGCAGTTACTGTACATTACCATACTTCTAACTTAAGTAATGTAATACATACTGTATCAGAATACTGTATTGATTTAATTTCTGTCTACATCCTACTTCCTGCCATTAGATGTAGTGTCACCTGTATTTTCATAGAATTAATAATTTTATACATTATAAATTATTGTCTTATAAACCTGGGCAATGCCAGGTGTAACAAGCTAATTATTTCTAAAATTACAATATTTCTTTATTCATATCACATCACAACTGTATAACATTATATTATAATAATAAAAATTTCAGTAGTAATGATAAAAAATAATAAAATTCACAAAACACTATTTACAATAGCATTGTATAATATTCCTTTTCATTATAACATTAATATTTAAGAATTTCAAACATTGCCTAATAATGTTTTTAGTTTGTTTTAAATATTATTATTTTCTAAACTAAAGTTTCAATAATACATTGCAATTCAATATAACAACATTCTTCTAGGTATATGTGATTGTACTTTACACTGTTATGCAAAACTAGGAATTTAAGGTCTCTGTCCTGTTTTATAAAACTAAAGTTCAAATTTGTTTAAATTTAAAAATCAGTTGAAATTTCAAAACGACAATAGATAAAAATTACAAAAGTATCTCTCTGTAAGTATATTTATATTTTTTAGAATAAAAAATATTTCAACACTTTCGCAGATTGCTAACAAAAAGTATTATTATTTTCATTTTTCATTTTCTTTTAAATAAATCTCATCAAAACCAAAATATTGACCAATTCCAACTACAGTAAATTCTTATGTTTAAGCAAGGAACATTACAGAATGTCTTGCACAATTTAAATTAGTGCATAATGTAAACAATCACCAAAAACTGCAATAATAAGTCTTATATCCTAGTTAATTTGTCCCTATTGGAAAATAAGTAGAATAAGCAAGAAAAAAATTATGCCCTTCCAACAAATAACTGATCGACAATCTTTAGTAAAACAAAAAGAGATGATGATAAGGTTATTGCATTGGCCTCTTGTGCAATAATGCATTATTTTATATCTGCATAATTTAAGCACATATATATTAAGAAGCCATTGTATTAGTTTCTCAAAATATTTTTGTCTTCAGTCTTTACTTTAAAAAAAATCTTTGGAATTAATACTATTTGCATTATCTAATTATATTCTAATACAATATTTTCATTATATGTATTGAAATGCAACGTAAAACTACAATTTAAAAAAATTTTTAATTTACATAATTTAAATAATTCTGTTTTGTTCTCTGATTAAATTGTTAAATTACAAATATTTCATTAATGTGATAATACATCTAGTGTAATTGAACTTCGTAGAATGCTCATAACAGTTTTTTATTTTAATTTAAATAATGCGTTCTCCACTTACATTAGAACATTGTATTCTATTTTTAAGTTTTTGCTTTTCTGATGATGACAAACATAAGTTTGTTGAAAGTGCTAGTGAAAATAGAAAACTATTAATGTGATATATCTATAAAGATAATGTAGTGTGGAAACTGGCTGAAGCAGACAGAATTATAATTGAAAATGTTAACAAATTAAACACATGCCTTAACAGAATAAATTTAGTGAAATATAAAATTAAAATAACTGATCATCTGTCACGTTTTCTCAATCCCTTCAATCTTAAATCCTCGGATATAATTAACTCTTCATAAATTCATGATTAGAACCAACCATAATGCCATCTAACAGGTCACAGTTAAGATAAACATCAGAATTTTCTATTATCATTTTCCACAAAAACAAAATAATTCATCTTTTGACAAAGGAAAATGATTAAAAAGCTAAGAATTCCAATAATTCATCACAAGACTTCAAACATTCTGCTGCTTATTGACTTGAGTGACTTTGCAGAGGGTATGTTTACAAAGTTTATTTACAAACTGTTTGCAACATATAATGTTTACAAATTGCATAAACAAAGCATTTTTATAGGAAATATCAATAATAAAAATTCTAAGGCTTTGTTCATATTCCTTATATCTTCCAGAATTTGTTATTAGATGTATAGCTGTACTTTTTTTATGCAGTTCCTACTTCCATTTCCTTATCTAATTTTAAATTAAGATTAAACTTCTAAATAGCCAAATTTTTCTAAAAAGACATGTAAATAACTCTAGGTAACAGGTCAGTTTTTACTACTTTATACCAAGAAGTCTATTTTCTATCAATTTAAATCTTTTGCATAAAACATGGCAGCATGGTACATGATTTTTCAGCTTAAAAAAGGTCATACAAATAAAAATTGTTTTGGTCTTTGAAAGAAAAAATTTGATTAATCTCTATGAGAAATAAAATTGTATGAAGATAACTTTTCTAAAATAGCATGGAATCTTGTGGACTATGCTAAATAATCATATCTCAGTGAAAGAAAATACCAAAGCAAGTAGGACAAAAAATGAAAAATAAAAAAAGCTGCATAATTCAGAATTTGACAAATGAAATTTTTAATAAAAAATATATATATATATTTTATAATCAGATAATCAAAATGGATTTACTGCATTATTGGACTACATTCAAAACAAAAAAATGCAATTTTTAATCAAGAAAATTTCTTAAAATTATCCAAAAAAGTAAAATTCACTTAAAACAAATTTTGTGTCTATTTTCAATTTTTCAGTTCTTATTTTTATTTTCTTCATACATTTATTTACAGTGTAAATGATTATGCTATAGTACCTCATTTTATTGTCATTCAGATATATAACATTATTTGTTTGTCTTCCAAATTAAAAGCACTTTATCTAATAAATACTGTATACATTGATTATTATACTACCATCTGATATATGGCTCATTTGGT